ACTTTATAAATCTTAATTTTTATTTATATTTATTAAAAATAGAAAAACAATGTGTTTTTCAAGTTTTTTCTCGATGATACCAGGTGTGATACGCTGTAGTTGTATAACACAGGAAGAGATTACAACGATAAATATATTTAATGCCATATTAAACACAAAATGCCATCATCAGGCGCGCTATTTGTATACAGAATGTGGAATAAGAAACGAGACACAGATTGAAAAAAAGAAAGACACATCGATTGACCGAGAGATAAGAATCACATAATATGCATTTCACATAAATGAGCGCGATGCCGTTGTATCAGAATAAAGGTTTGTCAAATAATGTGTTTTTATTATGCAGCTCGTACCGAATCAACGAGGTTGACCTGCATAAACGGATGCTAACTATCTTAAAATACTACATCATGATTCCTCGTACCCGCAATACGAGAGCCGATTACAATATGCAATAAAAATATTTAAATGTTCTATTTACTTTTAATAAACATTGAGAAAATGTTGCTCTTTTTTTTGCTGACTCACGTAAGATTAATTAAAGAAGATTGATTAAGATACCCATAAGAACATACAAAGCTTTCAAAGAATGCTGTAGATACTCGCGTCTGGAATCTCTGTCGTTGAAAAATTCCGGAATCGTGGCGCGCATTCTGTAATAAACGTCCATGCATCGTTTCGTGGCCGCCAAATCAAAGTAACAACTATGCGCGAATAATGCCAATTGTTCTTCGGGAATTTTTGGAAGATCCTGATCATCCGCCCACTTTTGTAGACTCTTTAAAAGCTCGTCCGTGATCTCCGGATATCTCTTCCGCGAATCGTCAATTGTGTGGCCAAGCTTCATCCTGTGAAAATAAAAACCATAATAATAACTCCGTTAAATATTTTACAGAGCAATATTCTATCGAGATTGGCAATGCTTTTTTTCTTTTAACATTAGCACGCGAGATAACGAGATGAATAAAAACTCGCGGAGTATAAAATCGAAAGGGTGTCGGTCCATAAGTTTTCCGGATAATGAGACTTTCACCGCAAATGTAAGAACCGTGTTGCGTACGAGTAATTGATGTGTAAATTTGCTCAAGTTGCGTCATAATAGTTATTTTGCACGTTCTCGGCGCTCAGATTCTAATTAAAATCTTTTTTTCGTGTATTTTATCGCGAAAATAGCATTGTAATATTAAATTTAGCCTATTATTTACAAAGTTGTTTGCAACGCATATAACGACATTATGTTCGATATAAAATGAAATTATTATATATGTACATATACAATATATATAATCGTAAAAATACGAATTTCACAAATACAATATATTTTATTCATAAGATAGTTTTAATTCGTAAGTTATATTAAACAATTTTCTTTTCGAATACCTGAAAAAATCGTCGTTGAAGATCGCACTGGGTATTCAGGGGCAATAAATCACACAACGTCCATTGCCGCGTATAAACTGTTCTTTCTTAATTTCCAATAGAATGATAATGACTCGTTCCACGCACACGTCAACAGTTAATTTCCTGTTCTCTAATGTGAGCTATTATAAATTGCATTTAGGAATGTATTTTCTTAAGGTGTTTATATCACACACACATACATATATATAGATGTTTGTATATATGCATATATATATGTATAATATAAACATGTTAAGAGAATACATTCTTAAATGCGATTAGATATATAAAATTAATGTTTAATTGGACAATTAAAAAAAAAGTATATATATATATTCTATTTGTCCAATTAAACAGCTCGACAAAATCAACACGCACTACAGTCCACTTCCAGGGATTGAATACGCCGCGCAACTGCGCGGTTTCTCGCTTTGACTCGCACCGCCGACAATCTCGTCGAACATTGCAGCGTGTGTCCGGGATTGAATACGCCGCGCAACTGCGCGGTTTCTCGCTTTGACTCACACCGCCGACAATCTCGTCGAACATTGCAGCGTGTGTCCCGCGTATGGTAAAGAAAAATACTCTCGCTTGTATGCAGAACCGGTTGCCTTATGCTTTTACGTAATATCAGATAAGTAAACAGCAAGTAAAAAAAGCGGTGTCAATATGGGCAGCGGTCGTAAGAAAAGATCCCCAAAGTCGTCATTTCGAAATATATGAAATGAATAAAATATATTGCTGAAGAGATTTGTTTCATATAGATATGTATATATCTCTCATATATTTATACAATATTTATGAAAAGCAAAATAGAAAATGATTGACTTCTTTTGTTGTGCGATGTATTTTATATGCATTTTCAAATCGAGAATGCATTTCTTTTATAGTTAGAAAAAATTCATGAAATGTAATTCGCATACTGAGATGTAACAATTGTGATAGAAAATAATATTGTGTATGATATCGTGAATATCGGGAAATATTTTGTTGAGAGCGAAAAATGTGAAAGAGAAAGCATATGCGTCGATTGACCGATATTATGGAACGCGTGCAAACTTGTCCAAACTTCCGCTAAAGTTTATACGGTCGAAGTCAGCGTTTTCTCTCAATTCGCGTGAATAATCCATGTGATTACTCCACATGCGGAGAATTTTTATTTATTTTAAAAATTAATTTTGCAGGAATTTCCGAAAGAAACATCAACTTCAAATTATGTAATAAAATTTGGAAGAATATCCAAGAGAGATTCTGAAATATCTTGCACTATGAAAAGTATAATGCATTATGCAACATTGCTAAATGCTAATTATCAGCAAAATTCTAATTGACTGACAAAACGACTGGATATGGCACATTTGATTGAGGACAAATCGCACGGTTTAACGATCGATTGAAGGCTTCGAATTACTCAATGAAAACACGTCGACAGCAGTTACTCGAAATAAAAGAGTTTCACAATGTGAAAGTTGCCCAATTTGGAGAACAAATTCTGCGTATGTAAGTATAAGAATGATGCTTAATCCTGTATACAAATTTTAATTTTGCTTAGTACGTCATCATAATATAGTTTTAAGGAAAATTCTTGAATTAAAAGATAATTCTTTTTTTGACCAATTTGATTTCAGGACGGAATTTACAATTAAATTGTATTAAAAAAATCAAAAGAGAACGAATGATATATTTCCACTTATAATTGGTCAGATTATTCACATTGTGTCCGAGAAAAAAATGGGTCATGAAGCATCGCAGCATCAGCTTTTATCAAACGCTCGTACACCTGACCGATGAACGGTGATCAGGTAGCGCAAGGCTACCTGACAAGAATGAACACGTAGGGCATGCGGGCGCGAGTAAGGGCGGCGAGTAAGGGAGGATAGGATCGGCGGAGGGTGCGTTCGCCGGCGCTGCGCTGGCTGGAGAACAGGTACTCGTCGTAGGCGTCGTACGTTCATTGATAAGCGTATTACACCCCGCGCCTTAAACTCGCGTGACGTCACTGGACGCATGCGTGGCCTCTCATCGAATCCTGAATCGCAATGACAGCCATTGGCGTCGCATCGCGTCCAGTTTTTTTCATTCTGTATTGCGTATACGTGAAAAAAATATTTTCTCGTTTAAAAATTTTTCTAATTATGCGAAATATATTGTTATAATTAGAAAATGTTCATGGATGTTATTTAATTTATATATATAAAATTTATTTAATAAAATATTATATACATACGACATATATACAGCAATATAATTAGAGGAAAAATTGTATTGTTTGTATAATCTGCATCTATGGCCATGACTCTCAATGATACTTCATTATTTCTCTATCGTTAACTGCACGTCGTCAATGAGCAATAACAATTTTTAATATATATTTTTCTAAAAATTGATTAAAACGTTTCAATTTTTTTTTTTTTATTACAGGTTATCGAAATCGAATAAAACATGTGGCAAAATTTCCGTAATCTTGGACACTGATTAAAATAATTAGTGGTCGCGCCATTGTCTTATGGAGTTTCCGACTGGCATGAAGAAGATTTCTGGAATTTGATGGACAAAGTTGGTACGTTCCTGGTAATACGACAGAATTGTTTTAGATTGCGAGGGAGGTGCTGTCATCTCTTCCGCACAAATTTCAGATAGCCGTGCGTATGTGTGCGATGCCACATTAAAATCAAACTGGTTTTCTTCATTTTCGCGGATCTCGTGCCTCGTTTCCTGTCTTTTCACATGATGGCTATTTGTTTAAGTCGAAAAAAATTGCACAAAAGGAGAAAATACAACGGGTTAGAATGAAACGAATAGAAGGGAATCGAGGATCGGAGTTAGATAAATGACCTGTTTGATTCATCGATTTTTATTTTTAATGTAATTTGACCTATATTCATTTTTTCTTTTTATTATGTAATACTTTGTGGCTGAAGAAACACAAGTTTAGTGTCGACACGTCCCACGTTACGTCATTAAATTGTGATTATATCATATTTTATATTGAATTAATTCAAACAATCTTATTGGCCTTTAATTAATATTCATCAAATATTTCTAAATAAATGAAATAGATGTAGGCGGCGGAAAGGGCAGAAAAGTCGGGGAAAGGGGTCAACGGGGATTGAGAATTGGTAGTAGGAGAATGTGGCAAAAGGGGGAGAGAGAAAAAGAGAAAAGGGAAACAAAGACAGACAATGAGAGAGAGAGAAAGAGAGAGAGATAGAGAGAGTGTGTGTGTGTAAAGAGTAGAGATATCGTAGGATCACCTCCTGCTTATTGATTGGTCTTTTGTGAAAGCTACACCCCCATGTAGCCGCGACGCGAACCATTTCGCCAAGTCACTAGACTTCCAGGGTATCGGATTTCCAGGGTTGCGATACCTCCATATTTGGCGCGGTCGATCGAACTCTTAAACGCCGCGCGCGAATCGATTCTACTCCCGCGCCAAAGATAATGTCGCGAGCGATCGAGTCGGCACACATCCCCGCGACGAGGAGATCATCTCTCGGAATAAGCGAGCCAACGAAAAATGATGTAAAGAAAATTGTGCGAGGGACTTTGACGATACAGCGACTCTATATCGGCATTGATCGCTGAGTGACCCATATCTGGCAGTGACGGGAGCCCCTACCCTTCTTTCCCCTCCCCTCTTTCCAGTCCCTTTCGATGTTTCTCGCATCCTGGCGCGCGCGCTTGCTCTCTCTCTTCAACCATCCCCATTCGCTTACCTTCCCCTATACCCCGTACGGAGGTGCACCACCACCCCACATGGGCTGTTGTACCCCCACCTATTATACCCCGACGGCGAGCGACCACCACTATCGGCCCCTACCTCCGACTCCAGCAGCCCTGCCTGCCTTCCACGGTCGAGCAGATCTTGGGGGTTGTACGGGATGATAGCCGAGTGAAAAAGCTTGGCAAGTCCCGAGGAGAGTTCGCTCATCAGCAGCAGCAGCCCTGGCCTGCCACAATCCCTTTGACTCGGTCATCGTAAGTGTCGTGTCGAGGAAATAGAGTGAAAATTGGTATGAATCGAGTGCGAGCATGAGCACGAAAGAAAGAGAAAGAGAGAGAGAGAGAGAGAGAGAGAGAGAGAGAGTAAAAGTGAGAGAACGAATGATAGAGAGGATGCTTAATGAAGAGAGCGGACGAGCGAAAAAAAGAACTCGATCTACCGTTCGATACTAATCTGACATCCAATGATTGCACAACACAATCGAAGAAGCAATAAGTATAAATTGCTGAACGCGAGCAAAACGTCGTGCGGTGATATCTCGAAACATATATCCCGCGTGAAACATATATTTCTCGGAGTGCACCTTCCGTCGGTCCGGTCGACTCGCAAGCTAAACGTGTCGAGGCTTACAGTGACGGTCCTTTGAAGAGTGTTAGTTGTGCAGATAACAGCGACGAGGACGATGATGACGACGACGGCGATGGCGACAGCGGCATCGAGACGGCGGACCAGTATGGCGGATGATAATCGTGGAGTGTCGGTGGTGCCACCGCTGCCGCAGCAGTCGACATCGCCGCTGTTACCGCCACTATCGCCGCCACCACCACCTCCTCCGCTGTCGTCGTCGCTGCCGTCACTGCCGCTGCTCGTGACAGTGGTTGCACTACGTGCCCGCCGTGCAGTGGTGTCCGGTGCGCACCGGGTGCACATGTACGCTACGTACCTTTCGCCCTTTAGTGAGATCAATAAGCAGTGCCGTGGCCACTCGAGCCGTGCCCCCGCCGAGAAACACTCGTTCCGTGTCTAGTGTTCCTCGTTCCCCATTCTGATCTCCCTTTCTCCCCCTCTTTAATGTCGTCTTGATTTCCACTTCGATTGTACGAAACTTGGATTCGCAAACTGGACCTCGAAGAATCGAATCCCGGAAGCGACCAAGCCTTCCGCAAATCATCACTGAAGGCTGACTCTCAGTAAAAGAAAGTGCCCAGTGTTTCGACGGAATCTCCACCTCCCTCGTGCGAGCGACGATCGCGGACGGGGTTTCTTCAGACTTCTCCACTTTCGGGCTCGGCGAGACTGCCCCTTTCCGTTCGCTTATCTCCGCGTATCAGTCGCTATCTCGTCCGCCATCGAGGTGTTCCTCGATTCGCCTGCTCACGTAGCACTTGTCGTCCGCATCGAATTATTGCCAGCCAGCACTTGGTAGGATTTTTTTCTTGCCATCTTCTTATCGCTATCTCTGTCTCTCTTTCTCTATCGTGCTCTGTTCTTTCTCATCTATCCGCCTTCGTCTTCTTTCATGCTTCGCACATTTCTGTCCGTTCGTATCGCGACTTTGACTACTTCTCCAGTTGCTTCGTCGTCACGGAATTGACTTTATCCACTTCGTTTCGTTCGACTCGTGTCGTTATAAGTCCCATGAAATTTGCGGTATCGATCTTCCGCAACGGCTCGCTTTTTATTATGTCTAACCTAAGCATCTAAAAGTATCAAAGATCTCGTCTTCCTCGAAAGAAATCGTTGTCTTGGCTCTGAATGATGCGGGATCGTCGCGATATGACTGATTCTTAAATGAAGTCTTATGAATGGAAGTCTTAGGAGTTTGAAAAATGAACGTCCTCACTCGGCGCAAAGATATTTGACATTCTGATATGTGTAAATGACAGCCAGGATGCTTCTCGAGTTTCGCTAATGATAAAATCTTTTTGAAAATAGACTTCTCTTATTGACAATCTATTGTTGTTCATACAATTTCCATTATTTGAATTTCACATAATCATACTCTCGACGATGTTCGAGCCAACAGTTTAATCAATCGTCCACACCCGACGATCAGTTTGAGTCTATCGGCAATCAAAAGGTCGACGAACCGAAGGAAGAGAATTCTGAGCCACGCAGTAGAACAGTAACCGCGAAATAACGGTGATAAGATGTTTTATCTAAGCGAGAGCTATAAACCGCGTGTGGCGGAATAAAATCGATAATTGGACACTAATAGGAGTCCGGCATTAACTTGCTATGCGTGAATGAAAGTTACTTTGTCAAAAGACTTTACATTTTCTCTCTCTTCACATGATTGTACACGCAACCGTGATGATAAAATTATTCTAATTTCTTTTTATTTTATATTATTAGGTTGGAAGACTCTCTTTATCTCTACTATCTCATTCACTTCGGGATAGTGCAGTAACTAATTCTTCGATCGTCATTTGATTCATCGCATTTTAATACTTTGTATACATTGTTACATCAGCGACGCTGATTGTTCGCCAACGCGTTCGTGAACTTGTATGGCAGAAAAGCGGATAATTGCCTGATCGTTACTTTCACTTTGTTAGTCTCTGGCAGAAAGAGAAACAAAGAGCGTACAAGCTAATTAAATGTATCAAGAGACGGAAGTGTGCCCGTTGCTATTAAACCACATTAATAAAACGGCGATGAAAGAAAAGAAAAATGAGAGAGACCGAGACGTGTTTTAGCTTTCATTGTTAATTATACAGTGTGAGTGAGGTTTTCTATAGCAAATTACACGCAATTACATTTATTATCGCAACAAATGCTCGAGCTGATAGCATAGATTTAACGTTTCTCGCGAATTTGATTATTTTATGGACTCGATTTCTTTTTCAAAATACGTTGTCAAAATAAACTTCTTCTTCTTTGTACGATTTTGATTGAAAATGTTTGCGTGAAATATTTTCATTGTCAAATGTATTTTCAGTAAAATATTCACTCTTTCGAGCACACTTTTTTCTCCCACGATGTATCCCTTAAAAATAGATTGCTGATAACAATTAAATATCACAGCAAAAGTTTCGTTCAATCTTTGATATAGAAAGATGAAAAAAACGGAGAATACAAGCTGCGGATCAATTGATCGGATAGGACAAAGTTAGTTGCCCTTTTATCTCGATGCGTGAATGCACGCGGATGACCGGACCCGGGGGGCGAAAGTCCGCGATGCGAGTAAATGGTTAACTGAAGCTTCGTGAGCGAGGCACGTGTCGCTTGTCATGACGTTTAACGAGATTCTGTGGCAAATGCGGTGTGCAGTATTGTTTGTTTGTGTGTGTGTGTGTACGCGTGGATCTCAATCGCGGCAACTTTTTCGCGTGAAAACCGCGAACGAGCACTCGCGTTGCACGCGATGCGTTAACACGAAATACATTGCGCATATACATACACAAATTCAGTGGTATAGCTGTAACAACTCCGGCGGCTGATAATAATAATTCGGGCGCAGTAGTTAAGTTCGTGCTCTCCCCCGGTATGCCTGTGTAAAATACGTGTTCGCGGTCGGTCCGGCTCGTTGCGGCGCCAGCGACGAGCGATCGTCGACCATATAAAGTCGCGAACTCGGATTTTCCACAGACGGATTACAAACTCGACGCGAATACCTGTTGCCAATAATTGCGCGGACTGAATTTTTCATTTGCTAACGAACTCTTGCGATTTGATTCGTAGCATCCGTAAAATACGCGGAATTCGAATCACGAAATTACCCTTTATCCGATAGAGAATCGAAGCTGAAACTTTTTTGGTCACTGCAAATGTATGAGATCTTTAAGTAATTAAAAATATAACAAACGTGTATATTTCTTTGCTGATTCTCGTATTAGAGGAAAGGACTGTCGAAAGTCTACAGCGTATCGAAAAGAGATTTGATTTAAAGGCGCCGCTTGAGAGCAATTTTTACTAAATAAAGGACTAGATCGATGGAATCTGATTCGCGCTATTTTCGGCTACGACATCTTGCACTCCGACAGAGAGTTGTCGTTAATATACCAATAAGTTTATTATATTAATAATTTGAGTTGAACTTTTATCTCGATTCAAGTTCCAGAATTTGAAAGTGAAATGTAGAGAAATAGCCGCACTCTTTAACAAATGAAGAAACATTTTGCATACGTGCGTTTTCTCCTAGGATGATCCCATATCTAACTACGAATCAGCCGACTCGATGCGAAAGACCGCTGGTACCCCTTAAACGCGAGGCCCCCC